ACACAGTGTACCACATCATAATGTAGTATTTAATTAGCAAACATTGATCTTTCTGAGAGATACCATTACAGTCCTCTCATTAAAAAGAGGCAAGCCTCCTTGTACCTGTATTTCAGAATTTGAAATACCTGACCTTATTCAGAGTATATTTTTTACTAGTGCAAACTCCTTTTTGAAGTCAAATGCTGCCTAGGATGTCCCATGGATATACCTTCTTGGGCACAGTGCATGAAACTCTACTTGTTGCTAGTCATGGGACTCCTTAAACCCATCTGTCCTATTTTGTAGAAGCACTGCCACCTTGAGCTTCATTTCTGTGACTCTCCGTTTCTCTTATTATTCTCTTGCTGGTTCCTAATTTTTTTACTGGGTAAAAAGAAAAAAGTCTCAGGCTTGGTACCTCAGCACAAGCAGACACTTGACATCTTTTTCAGTGATTAGCTCTCACTGACATCAAGGGGAGCTTTTCTGAAATCCTTTGCAGGGTCTGGACATCTCTCTGAGCTGCAAAATGCCAGCACCAGCTCCTGCTCCGGCCTTTGGCAAGTGTCTTCAGTGGTTTAAGGTAAAAAGCCAAGTTTCAGAGACTGCAGCATGAGGCTATTGTGTTCCTCTGGGACAGTGCTCACTAGACTGTGTGGCACTAAGCATGGGCTGCTGGGAGATGTTGCAAACCTGAACAAGGGCTTACGGTGATGGAGCAAAATGCCAGGGAATACGTGTGAGTGTGCCCAGGCTTAAGAAACATTGCAAAATCTTTTCCAGGTAACACAAGTCATACATGGAAGATTGTTGCATCTCCTAAACTCTCCGGGAGTGGGGGGGAAATCAATGCGGCAAACAAATTGGCCCCACCCTTCAATTGCCCCAAAAGGACAGCCATTGATTTATTGAAATCTATTTAAGACTTTGTTATAATTGTCCACCCTATATAGAAGATACTCCAAAATTATGATAATGGGTAGCAACAAAAAAATTCTAAAACACGTCAGGAGGAATTACAGTACTTAGAGTGCAGGAAAAGGACAGAAAACTTGCAGAAGCAAGAGAACGAAGAGGTGAGGAACGATGCAGAAGGAAATGGGGTTGAACAGTGGGAAGACAGTTTAAGTGATTTCTTCCTGCTCCAAATACCTTTTCAAACTCAAACATAGATGTCAATGCTTTTCTACCCATACTCCTGAAGAAATCTTATGGAGCCTGCACAGTGGAAAGCTCCCTTCCACACCGCTGCACAACTCCCAGGCATAAGTTCCCTGCAAGCTATGCCAATACTGCTCTGGCCAGCCCCGCAGCACGTGGAGCCAGCAGCAGAGCTCCTGCCCAGCACTGTCTGGGCAGGTGACAGCACCACAGACTCCCACGGATGCTACTGCTCTTCCAAGACTTTTTCTTGGAAAAAAGGTGCAGGTTTTTCTGTGGCTAAGTCAGCGGGGTCTACAGCCAATTACACTCTGTAGAGAGCTCGTATCTGTTTCTCTTAAATAGTGAACCCTTAGTCATTCCTGTTACTTTCCAACAAACCAAAGAAGTCTTTGACAATGAAGGAACCACCATCAAAAATACTTTCAAAAAATAAAGCAAAAAATGATGCAAGCTTTCCTGGGGCCAAACCTGGAAATAGTCCCCCAAGAAGATCCTAGAAGTGTTCTTTGGCATTAAGTGGTGAAATATGTCAAAACACAGAGAGCGCAGACAGCGGTGGGGCCGGAGGGGAAGAGGGTGACAGTGCCATGCTGCACAACTGTCCCCTTCTATTACCTCCCACTAGCAGAAGACAAACCTGAAAAGGCCCAACTTGTCCTTCACAACTGATTCACAGTAACGCAACGCACTGTGCCACAGCCATTGACCTGCTCTCCGTGTGCAGGCTGCCTCTGAACAACTCAGCAAAGCAAGAGGGATGTTTGGTGCCACAGGTCTGAACGTTGTTTGCCATTTTCACAGCCTCAGGAGCAAACACACGGACGAGCACAAATATCCCACAAGAGAATCCTCTTCAATTACAAAGGAAGAGACGATTACAGGACAGTGTCAATATGGAACATCTAAATGATTTACACAAATGCCATTTTACTTAGGGAAATGAAACAATCCATTAAAGATTAGCAGTGCAATGTTAATGTGATATAACAAGACAAAAAGAAGCAACTGAACATACAACAAAGTTAGATCCTAATGGATAAACATAGGAAAGGACAACCCATATTTTCAGTTTACCATGATATAGCTAGGCATTACAGGAGAGCTGATATACAGAACTATTTGCAGCGTCAGTAAAATCTTGCAGTATCTATTTAAGGCATAAAGTTGTGATTAACAGAGAGCAGATTCTTAGTTGTTGCAAATCAGTGTAGCTTTAGTTAAAAGTCAACAAAACTATGTTAAATTGTAGCAGCTGAGGACAGCATCTGAAAAAAGCATGGAGCTCCTAACTTGTGCTGTGGTTATTTGAAAACAATTCTGCAAAAGAAGTTGGAAGAAACGGGGCTGCATTTTGCTATTTGATTTAAACTTAGGAGGTTTTAAAAGTGGGAATGTAAGAACAAAAAGCTGAGAAAACAAACTTTTGGCAATGACATTTGACTTGTAAGCAACAACTGCAAAGGAGCTGCATTCCTTGTCCCACACAAAAAGCAATAGGAATGATTAAGCTTTAAAACACATACATGTGCACACAAGAACACATATAATCATCCAAGAGCTCAGAACTATGTCAGGATCACAAATGTATAAGGCAAATAAATACATTTAAAAGGTTCATCTGATACCACGTCAGGGAAGGTTCAAGGTGAGGTTAAAACATATCTAAAAGGGAGAGGACTCCCTTTCTCCAGCCAGTTGCAATGTTTCGTTTTCCCAGAACAATGGAGGGGAGGGGGGGCAATGATGTAGCACGCACAAGGGCACCTGTCCTGTTAGCGGACTTAGCAGTTGTAAGCAAATCTCTCAGCTCAGAAACTGGGATTTTGCACTTAAGAACACCACTTGCATGAAATTCCTCCTGCCTTTTACTGGTAAGGGCACTGGAAAAAGCCAGCATTGAAACAGAACATTGCAGCCATAGCAACAAGCAATTCAACACTTAAACTCTTCAACAGACTAACCAGTATTTTCTTTCTGGTTTTATAATTTCATGGTCAATAATTCACCAGGAGCACTTTACTTGTCTAGCTGGTCGTTAATGTCTCAAAACCAATCTCCTGTTAAAGCTTCAACCAAGAAAACCTCCTCACCGAAACTAAAATAGAAGTATGTGTATTCAGGGAGACCACTTCAAAATAAAACTTTTTTCTCCCTTTTTGGAAATTGGCATAGAAAGGTGGAGAAGAGCCCAAGTTCTGGCCGTTAAATCAAGCACTAGCCCTTTATTAGTATTGTATGCCATAAAATGTTACAACCAGGAACCCAAAAGCCTTAAAATTGAGATTTAAAACACCTAACAACTTAGGCCCTGCAACAGTATCTCTAAGTAATGCCCAAACAGCACAGGAACTCCAGTGGGAAGTCTCCTTGACCCTTTTTTGTTGAGTAAAACTACTGTGAGGAATTTTTTAAAAAATATATTTTTATTGCTATCAGTAAAAAGCCATTTGAAAACCAAAATTGAAGGCTAAAAATAGGATAAAACATTCTGCATCGTTGATGAAATTTAACCCTGTTAATTAGACAGCTTCATTTCACAGTCAGTAAGAGTCTAATATTACCCTAATAAATGCCTGGGTTTTTTTGGAAAGTGTCATGCATGAACGCAACTGAAATCGTGCCTTTTTAAACTTTTAATGGCATCAAATTTAATATCTGCAAAAGAAATCACTGTTTTCTCAAAGGCAAGAGTTTGAGAGGTTTAGGACCTATTGACTAAAGCATAAGGGCAATAGAAAACTGTTGATCTCTCCCAAGCAGACTAAATAACGTCCACATGAATTTTAATGCTCAACAAAGGTGCTAACCTTAATGAATTAACTTCGGTAGGTAGTTAATTATCCAAAACTTTCATTACCCTTTCCTATCCCTTTACCATTTTTATACTCCTTTACTGCAGTGAAAAAACTGAATTTGAAGGAACCAGATAGCACAGACCCTTTGAGAGCCTCAGGGGTCATCCTGCATTCCTTGCCACTACAGGTAACTTAATCGCAGCATAACCCCACAATTCATGGATGCAGGCTTTGTTGACTGACCCTACAACTTGGGCGTGAACTCAACTTTGCTAGCAACACACGCTGAGAAGCTCCAAAAATGACAGTGAAGGACAGAGCATGAAACAGACACAGAAATGTGTTCACATGTTCAGGGGGAGCAGGGACCTTCTTCAATCCCTGTTTATTTGGATTATTTTTGACAAGTAGCACTAATATCTATGGAGTTAATGTGCCATGTAAGAGACAGTTACTCAGCATTATGAATTTTTTTAAGCCTTGCTGGTCACATAGTTGTTCTCTGTTAATTTGTTTATTTGAAATGTTTTTTGAACTTCTCTCTCTATAAATCACAAGGTGAGGAACTGGGGAAACTACACTCTCTTTTTCAACTTCTTACAGCTTCTGGGCTGTCTTGTGACCTGCCCGCCTGGATACTACACAATCACAGCCTGACCCTGCATTCCAGGATTTGCAAAGTGTTTTTCACAACCCTGATGGGGTTGGCTGGAAATCTTACTAAGTATGCCCTGAGACATACATGCGTCAGTAGGGGAGGATACTGTGCAAGTGGAAGCGTGAAGAAAGCATGGAAGCAAAATCCATTTATAACTAAGAATTACTAGTAGGAAGTGATTGGTGACCAGCCTACAGGGAAGTGTCTAGTAACCATGAGAGCACTGTCTGATTATCAAGCCTTATACATAAGGCAGATCAGAGGTGTGCGACAAGGGGAACCTGGTAAAACATGGGGGATGTTGAAAGACTGTTGGGGTTTTTTGATAGGAAAAAGGAAAAACAACCTCTATGTTACATGAACAGGACTCTTGAAAAACCACAGAAATATCCCATACTTACTTTTATCTTCCTGGTTTTCTTCTGCTGCTTTGCCTTCCTCTTCCTCCTCCTCCTCCACCTCCTTCTGCTGCACTTCTTCGTGGTGATCGTTGGCACCGACTGAAAGGCTCTGGCAGCAGTGGTTGAAGCCGCTATCCCGAGGCAGAGTGAAACTTCGGGGCTTTCCCCCATTCCCATTCAGCACTTGCATCCGCTCACCCTCCACGAGGGGGAAGGGGCCATAGTGGTCTTGCAGGTGGCACTTCTGGGTGGGCAAGGTCGACTGCCGCCGGTGCTCAGGGGAGACCACGGCCGCCTCGGAGAACACAGAGTCCTCCAGCGGCAGCGTCTGCAGGTAGTGGAGTCCTGAACTTGTCAGTGGTGTCTCTATGAGGTCCTGCCAGGAGCGCCGCTGGCTCGCCGTCGGTGGCGCTCCCTGCCGCCTCCGGGCGAAACTCCTCGTGTGACGACTGTGACTGGGAGGTCTCCGTGGACGAGAGTCGGCTGTGTTTTGGCTCCACGTAAGGGCTTGTGCAGCTCATCTACAACGTCAGCAATGGAGCAATCTTCAGATCAATGTAGACCGAGACCTACTGCTAGTAATAATTACGTACTTTTCCTTGTCACTGATGGCACCCAGTTTAGTAATGAAGGCACAAACTTACCTGATTAACCTGCCCTGATCCTAACTTTAAGGCATGCACGCATCTATCTACACATGTCACACCTGTGGGCCAAATACTGATACTTAGTCATAATAAGTATCCTTATTATGTCCCTTAGTTTATAAAATAAACCAACACAATTATATGCAGAAAACTTTGCAGAGTATGTCACTATGGAAGACACAGAAGAGATGTGCTTGGTCCATTAAAAATCTTAAAAATGCATCCAAATGCCTGTTGTCGTCCTATCTTGCTAAAAATTTCTTTGGCATTGTCTTTGCAGTGCTTCAGTGCGGTTCAAAGATCTATGATTTTGGAAGATAAAGTACTGCATTCAAATTAAACATCACGAACACTCTCTTTTCCCCAGACTTCCCCAATTTTTCAATCCAAATTTTTGCATTTTAAAAACTATATTCAAGTAAGATATATTAGTTAACATTGCCTCAGTACACAGACATGAAAATTAAAATTGCCAGTGCAGAATAAGTTAGAAGTCTATACTCTGGTTTTATACCAACAGCTGTTTCAAGAAGAAAATAAAAAACAAATCCCCTTTTGTTCTAATTCAGAGAGAAACATACTTTTTCACAACAACAGAACAACTGATATCACTGTTTGCGATATAAGAGAGAACACACTTATGTTGGCATTTCTGTGGAAATTCAAGTGTAATTTGTTACTGTAAAGCTTCACAGCACAACTGTTGTGCCTTAGAGAAGAGTCTGTGTTGTTACTGGGGTAACAACATTTTGTCAGAGAAGATGATAAGGGGGCGGTGAGGGATTGCATGGATGAGTAGGGGTCCGTCTTGAATGAAGAATAGGAAGAAAGAATTCTGTAACTTAATCCATTTTGTACAGCAATTGGGATTATAAATCTGTGTTCTCTACGCACCAGCGGAAATAGCAATGATGGCTGTTGGAAGTCAGCGGTGCGTGTTACTTAACAAAGGCCTTAAGTCAAGTACTGACTCAAAGAATATACTGGAGACTGCCCTAATGTGCGCACGCTCATGCTTTTAAGCAGGAGAGTAGGTAAAAGTGACACTTTACGTAGTCATTCCTGTAGACAGTTGCAGGTGACTTACCGAAGGAGGCCGTGGGTATGTGTCGTATGGGGGTGGTGGGCTGTCTTGTTTGGGTGTCGATGGAGTGTCGGCTTCCTCCTTATCACTCTCACTCCAGTAATCTACAAGTTACATACAGATCAGATGAAAAACTACCAACACATTTTGATACTCAGAGACTCATTTTCATAAAAGCAACTGAAAACTCCAACCTTAGTATTACTGAGAGTTAAACACCAGTCAATGCTGACTCTGTAAAGGTTAGTTGCTGTAATTTGGAATTGCTTTAATCTAAAAAGGGAACATTCAAAATGTTATGGGGTATACTAAGTCTAATGCCCCATTGCAGAGATATTAAACAACCTGCAAAACAGCCACAAATTTAACTCTCGTACACACCTTATAAATACAACATGCATACAGAATACTCCTAATACAAGTTTCAGATTTTCAAATATTTATACAGCCATCAAAATAATTATGATTGGACATATATTGACTGGAAAATACTAGAAGTATTTTTGAATAGAAAAGATGAAAAATGTAACTTGCAAGAGTCTTGTTGACCACAAATAACATTAACAAATATAATTAACACCAACTGGCAAATCAAACAAGTAATGACTACTGCACACATGACTAATCAATGTCATTTCTCTACCCATTTTCTCTGTTGTATACTACTAGTTACCCAAGCTTTTCAATTCAATTTCTAATAACAAAGCTGCATTTAAATAAAACAGAAGAACTTTATATCATATATCTGCTTCATAAAACAGTTGCTGCCCTGTTATCCATGCAAGAACATAAAGGTGATATGGTAAGGAAAAATATGACAATGATATTTAAGCACAGAGTTCCAAAAGATGGATGAGAAAATAAAAAGGACACAGAGCTTGTGGGCTAAATTTAATGGGATATGAGGTTTCATTTTGTCAGGAAATCCAGTCTTGGCTAAGCACATTTCATATGTTTGGTAGGTTGGTCAAAGAGGAAAACACACGAAAAAATGTACCACATGGGAATTTATATTTATTCCGTTGAATAAATTTATGTTTATTCTATTTTTGAAGCAGAATCTAAATGGACACTGGACCTTAATATTGCTTACAAAAGAAAACTACTTAACTGCTGACTTAACTCAAGATGGATAACTTTAACATTTATACACATTGTAAGACTTATGCAAACATTTCTGTTGTCACTTTGTTTCTGACTGTATTACCTTCTCGTATTTGGGTAAATCATTGTACAACAGGACACTTTAGCTCAGACTATTCACAGACTAATCACAGGCAATTTTCACTTCTCCTAGTAAGTGTTCAATGAACTGCATGACTTACTACTTTAACAGATGAGGAGAAAAAGATTGATTGTTGCCTCATAAACCAAAAATCCAAGTTGGCACATGATGTAATTTCGGCTTTAATGATTTTTTGTATTGCGTGATTAATGATCTACCATATCTAATCTTATTCAAGATTTAAAACAAAAACTTAACCTTAAAATGACACCATCTTGAAACAGCTGTCCCTCAAATGCTGTATATTTTTAGATTGTATTAAGGGGGGGGGGCAGCCTTATTTATCTATTTATTTTTTCCAAGCAGTAATAACTCTGCTTTAGCTCTGGGTCTCTTGATTTGCTTCCTGCAACCTTATAGATGAAAGATTCTCTTCAAATGGTATAATAAATAGCATAAAGTTTTCATGACTATGAAATAAAAAATTCAAAAAAATTTTGTCTCTAAAAATCTGCAAATAATGAATTTTTGTGAACAAAAGACTAAATCAGAGAAAACTCTTTTTTAAGTCCCTCCTAGTTTTAAGAGAACTTGTTTCCAGCAACTCAAAACACCTGAAAATATTGGCATATAAGCATGTTTGTTCCTATTACAGAAAAGCCTAATGGCGCGATGTGTGGGGAGAGGCCTGTCAGAATTGCATCACTCAGTGAGATTTCTGCAGACTTGGAATTCAACTGTTTATTCTGAAAGTAAAATTTAGCAGCCTCCGTGCAGGTTCCAATTTTGGCTAAAAATACAAAGACATTCTTGCTGTCAAATCCACATACAACACAACACTGCATCACCAGCTTTTTGCGCACCTTACCTCAGACAAGGAACTCTGTTGGCAACCTACGGCTTGTCCAGAAAAATTCTGCAGTCACAGGGGTCAATTTCCAGATGAAATGTATGAAAATAGCTTCCCATTAATTTTTAAAAATGTTCTGCTTTTGGCAACTGACTTATTAGAGTCTATCTAAAATGTGTATAATGCTATCGAACATTTCTCTCTGCAGATTTTGTCCAATTCAGTGACAGACAAGCTCAATGCATCGGACATATCTTGAAAGCTTTCTGAATGAGCAACAGACTGCATATATTATATACAAACTAACACTGACCTGCCATTTGCTGATTAAATATTTTCTATTTATATAAGCAAGTATTTTTTTTCTCTGATTTTATATGACTGGAAAGTATATAACTTCTCCATGCAAGGAAGTCCCTCGCGGTATTGCTAAAAAGTTGGAAAGTTGATGGTATTTTTATAAAACTGTTCTGTACAGAATGTGAAATTTTATTCAGCAGTACACCCACAATTCGGTGATTCGTGCATCTCTGAAGCACTTGAAATATATTTATGCACTTTAGATTCAGAACCATTCAACTCTTAATTGAAACAGGTTTGACAACTACTGTTGAATTGTTTCAGAGGTATGATGAAGCTTTGCTGCAAAGGGCTGAACTGAACAGAAATAAAAGACCTTTTGTAAAATTAAATATGTAGATGACAATTGGTACAGTCATGAATATAGAAATTCCAGCTTCATAGTTTTTATAATTGCAAAAATGCTTGAAGTGATATAGAGGTTTTGCTTTGCTAACTTGATGCCTCTGCTAATTAGGGACACTACTGAGCTGTTTAATAGCCCTTGTGCTGGGAGCCAAGGACAACCACCAGAGGCATAAAAACACCGTATGGCAGCGACGCGGGAATTTGATAGTGATTCCCACGCTAAACACAACTTAGCAACACAAAGAGGATATAGTTTTACCTGCCTGTATATGATAAATCAATTTGAGTGAATGGCGTTAGAGCAGTAATAAAGAGCTCCGTCAGTGCCCGGGATGTAATTTCCATAGTAAGTGGAGTCTCGCTGATTATCTTCAATAGGGAGACATTTTAATAATAGGTAACATGAGGCCTGAATGTGCATGATCTCATGTCTAGGAGCTGGATCATCTGCTATTTTATTACTCAGTGATTGCTTGGTAGCAAAAATATTTCTCTACATCCGTCTGGATTTTGAAAGGTGTATTCTGTCTGCAATTGTGCACTCGGACAGTGTTAGCATAACTGTTCATACACCTTTTCCCTTACTGTCCCACATGTTATTGTAATTCTAGTGCCAACCTGCTGTCAATAAAAGTTTGAATTTGGCTTTGAATGCTAACACAGAGGATCTCCTAGAAGACTCCAAGATTCAGAGTTTGTTCACAGCCTCTTCAAGCAGTGACAGATGGTATATGGGTCCTTCCAAACTCTTTATTGTAGTGCTGCCTGGAGAGTACAGATTCCCAAACTGATTTTGAAGGCTGGTGAGGCACTGAGAACATGACTGGAGGAATAGTGAGCACGGTGCTGCTATCCTGGGCTGTGTGAATGTGGAGGGCCTGGTGTTATGAATGACATGATGTGCCAAGGACCATACCAGACTAAAACAGGGTGTGGGCAACACTCCCAGGATAAGCAGCTGCACTTACTGGAAGACATGATTAGAAATGAGGCAACTGCAGGTACAACCTAGTTATGTGCGAGAATGACAGAACGCCCAAAAACCTTCCCATGCATGCTGCTACCACCGAATTATGACAGCGTGCTGTAAGCCACTGCTCTTCAACCCCAGGCTGATCCCTCTAGGATGCTCTGTGGTGAGGCAATCAGGGTATGAATCAAGGCAGACATAATTTTCTGATGTTGTCTTTTAATCTTCTATCACTACAGAATAACCTACGCTCTTGATGTTTCTACCTATCTGCTGAAGTCACCCTTGCTTCTCATCGGGGAAAGGAGTTTTTTGCACAGTGTCTCCCAGGAAAATGGCACTGCAGCAACACATTGCAGAGAGACAGACCATATGCATCTCCCTCCTCACGGTATCAGACCAGAAGGTCAGGGCTAAGGATGCTGTCACATAGGTTGGTACAGAACCGTGACTTTGGGGGGCAAGGAGGACAGCATGTGGCAAATTTTGAAGCCAATGATAGCCTTTTGAACACAACTCTCTCTAAAAAATGGTTAGAAATATAGTCTTTGTAAAGAAAAGACTAGATTAAATACATTGCTGCTGCAATAAGCTCCGAGCTATAAGCTTTTTGGGCCAAAAGACAGAACCTTACTGATGAAGGCTGCAGAGCCACAGAATTAAAAAGTGAGGTTTTGACTCAGTGGGCAGCAGGCAGACAGGCATCTGGATAAGCTTTGGAGATCATCACAACCACTGCAATTTTCTGGTGCCTGCTGCCAGGTACATCTGTAAAAAAGAGCATGGATTCAAAAGCCAGCTGCTTGCCAAAACAGCTAGTTGGACAGGAACACTTCTGTGGATCCATGTCACTTGCAATTCTAGGAAACAACCTCCCCAACACAATCGAGGACTGACCCTTTCCTCTTCCTATCTGCAAACAGGATTTCTACTGCAGCAAACTAAAGCAAAGTGACTCATTATTTTATATATGCCACTTCTTTAAACCCATGAAATATTAGACATTAAAAATAAACAGATGTAAAATGCTGTGAACCTGCAACTCTAAATGAAATGCCAACAGCGTTTTAGCACACACCTCAATATAGCAAAAACAGTAGAAATCACAAAAAATTAAATGGCCTTAAAATTAAAGTCTTTAGGGGAAATCCAATTATGTCAACAGGCTTTAGAAGAATGATTTTGTTCCTGAGACCAACTTCATGCACTCCTGCCCCCTGTGAACTCAAACACGAAATGCAATGTTTAAAATTTTTTTTTTTTGGTTTGCAGATTCTTAAGTTTCTTCTGATAGGGGACACAGACTCCTTGGTACCACATACCGCAGCTTACTGGCAGTACATTTGCTGCTTTCAGCTACCTTGTGCGGCCTTCTCAGAAATAATCCAGTGTCTGTGGACCAGAATCTGAAGGAGCTAATCAAAACCCCTGAGAGAGAAGGAACTCTCTAAAGCAACAACAGTGATATCCATATGTGAATTGCTTTCAGATAACGAGAATGAGGCCTCGTCACAGCAGGCAAAAAAGAACAGATGAACTTGTGATAAGAGCTGACAGAAGAAACCAAAATAACAATACATTACCTTGCTCTTGTTTGATCCTCTCTCTTTCTGCATAGCCAGCAGCAAGCATGTTAATTCTGTTTAGCCATCTGAAAGAATATTAAAAAAAGGCAGTGATACTGATCCAGCCTCTTAATTTTTGGGTGCATTTCTACAAAAAGCAAAGTTAGGAGCATCTGCAGGAGATTCAGGACAATGTTATTTTTCATATTAGACAGCTGTTTTCTTTGATACTCTTACTCAGGGAGTCTCCAAAGATCTATGATTTTGCTGTTGAACAAATTGTTTTCACAGCAAAGATTTTATTTCAAATGGAAAACCATGTATGATGTCAAACATCTGTAAAATAAAAGATTATAGATAATCAAAGAGCTATTAAGTCTGCTGCTCACAGATATGCCATCACACCAATACTCCTGCTGTTCTGATTTCTTAAGAATAAACACCACTTTTCAGAGATTTAAGAAATATTTTAAGGCCTGAATTGGCAGCTTAGCAGAGGAACAGAGCAGAAACCAGCAATAAAAAGAACAGGTTCGCTCCCAAACAGACAGTGAGGTTTAATTATGCCATTATGTGTTTTAGAGCTTACCTACAGTGCCAAGTACAAAGAGAAGGAGGCATATCAGAATTCACTTTTGTGTTTGTGTCAGAGAAGCAGGGGGAGAAAAGACAGTTGCCTCAATACAATTCACATCTAAGGCTTTAACCTCAATTTAGCCTTGAAAAAATGCTTCCATAAGCTGCACAAATTAAAAAAACAAAACACCAAACTATTGCTATTCTCTTCTAGCAGGGCTGTCATTGCCAAGCATACACTGTAGCAGTGCACTGCTTCAACCTGCCCTCTTCCCCCATGGGGCTCTCAGTGTATTCATTATCCAAATGCTTACACTAAATCAGGTCTTTCATCAACGAGGCTTTAAACCACCATGACAATCTCCTATGGTTGTCCATTCCATGGTAAACCTGGAATTACTTGCTCAAGTCATCCCATAGTCAGGATATGACAGGCCTGGTTTGCCAACCTACTGGCTTGCAATTTTATTGCTAGGCTATACAGAAGGACAGCTGAAATCAGGTTTGTGTTTTCTTCAGGAATGTGAAACCCCTCTGTCAGAAAACTGTGCCTGATGGGTTTCATTTACCTACTGTATGCATGGAAACAGGATGTAGTATTGTCTCAGCAAGGGATACACCTTTGTAATTACTCCTGCATGCCAGCCTTCAACGCATTTCAGTGCAGGGTAAGCAGGCGTCAGATCATAAAATACAGTTGCTCTCCTCGAAATTAACTCCTGTCACTGTCCTTCCACAAACGGTGACCACATGTATGATCTGTAAATCATGTTCATGGTCCATAAATCTTTGTACATTGGGAAGAAAACTAGAGATTTACTCCTGAAGTGATTACAGAATACTTCATGTTCGCGTACAATCAAAGGTTCTGCCAGAACAGGGAAGCTGAAGAAGCAGCTTAAAATTTCAGTTGTAATTGTTAGAAAGTGCCAAACACGTGTAAAAATAACTGGCACATAGGAACAGAAATCCCACAAATCGTGTCTCAGACAATGATTTCACATGTTCACAAAGAAAAGTGACCCACTACAAAGCTATCTTTTAGGTTCACATTCCTGATATGTGAAAGCTTTCTTTGGGGAATAAAGCTCAGCTGTCTCGGCAGCTCTGCCAGCCCCAGAGGCACTGCGGCAGGAACCTCACCAAAAGCACTCCAGCCCCGTGCTGCCGAGGGACCAGCAAAGGCCACAGACTTGTCCACATCCAAAGGGTAACACAGCACAAGAAGACAAGTGCCTGCTTTCTCAAATGGCATGGCAGACAGTGGAAGTGCCCCTTTGCTTGCCTCTCACCTATTTTGGATTTCACGTTCCCAATTCAGCTCACGACTTAACAACCCCCCAGCACAGCCAGCAGGGAACAGCCACCTACTGAACTCCTTTGGATAGGGCTGCTGATAACAAAGTATTAGATAATACATCTATAAAGGTTCTGTTGGAAAACTTCATCTGTCCTAAATACGAGATAGCCTTTCGTGTTAAGTGTGTGAGAGTGAGGTAACCAATTAAATTAACATGCACAGTACTGGCACTCTCGCGGAACAGTAGGAAACATTTTTCTATCTTATCTCACGCTCCAGGTAGATGCAATGCTTTTAGTCAAAGCAGGGTGTCAGACTGTCCTTAATCATAGAGCTTGAGGATATAGGACGAACTTGCTATATGGGAATAGGATACCTTACAGTATCTATAAGTACCCAACTGCAGTTTAACTGGAACATGTAGACGATGCAGGAGAATTTTTAGAGGCCTCCTTCACTGAAATCTTCCAGAGACATTCTCATGAGCTAATACTACAAGCTGACTTGTCATCTTTCCTCTTGATCATAGAGCTACACTAAGGAAGAAAACTCTTCTAAAAGTCAATACTCAACGTCACAAAAAGAGAAAAAGGACAGCTCAGTTACAGCAAGTCAAGGAAATTCTCAGACAAATATTCCACATGAAGTTACTGACTGTATTTCCCTGCCTAGAAGATATAATTTTGGCAGCCATATATGTCATCACTTAAAAAATGGACAGTTTAGAATAAAAAGGAAGAATAAGAGTATTTTAAGCATTTAAGCCAGCCAACCCTGAAAAGGATGCATTTGCCTCTGAACTGATGATCAGGATTTTTGAGTAAAGAACAGTTAGTCCATAAAGCAGCAGGCACAGTTACCATGGCAAATGAAAATAAAGTTACATATAGTATCATCAAGTAGAAATACATGGACTGCCTTCTACATCAGAATATTTTCTTGGAATAGGAATAACAATGAATTTCCAAACAAGATGTTTCTATGACTATATACTTACACTAGCAAAACAGTACTTTGCATCAATAAAGGATATTCTGTCCTTCTTCTCACCCAGGCTAAGCATGTTACATGGGTAGAAAGAACACTTTTGCTGGTGCAACCATGCAGCTGAAAGGAACTTCAGATGCCAAAACAATAAAGTTCAGTGATCATAGTTCTCCAGACTCCTTACCAGCATAATGGTGTGGCACAGTCATAAAAGTAGTAAGAAAATTTGAATAGTGACAGTTACTTGAGATTAAAATACCCATTTTATGTGAGTAGATACACACAAACAAAAACTTCGTCTCGTGCATATACTTTTTGCTTAAAAAATTAAATAATTTTACACAAGGGATGAAGGAATTGAACCATTTTGAACTTTCAGTTAGACTATGTATTAGCAGTTTTCTACTTTCATTTCTTTTGCTTCAAGTATAAACAGAACTGAAATGACTGCATGATACATAATCAAAATGTATGTCAGAAACCTGACAAAAAAAGAGCAGAAATTGATCAAAACAGTCTTAATTTAACTTAATAACTTGATTCTGTGTTTGACTTCAGCTAGGCTACAAAATGTTTTTAGGCAGGAAGTATTTTATTATCTCTGCATTTGAAAGATTATTTTTCAGTAACCCACTTTTTTTCCCAATATATTGAGTGTAATTCAATGTTTGTGAAAGTGAACTACTTTTTCTAATACATTAAACAAAGAGAAAAAATAAAATTATTTGGTGAGACTCTGATGGTAAGACAGATGTAAGAATTTCAAGTAATTCCACAGATCTTGACAGAGTTGCTTTAAATTTACATGTGTATAACTCAGATCAAAATTTGGTCAAGCTCAATCTAAATGAATTAATAAGCACTTATTTCAAAATATGATAAAAAGACTATTTGTGTTGGGAAGTTAAAAATCTTTTAGTTCTTGGATTTTAGACTGTGCAATATATTTTTAAAGAATTGTTGCCGTTGCTTTCTGATTACTGAACAGTTATATAAATTTTTATCCTTAGAAACAAGGTGCCTTGTCATACTGACTGAGCGCCTGCTGACAGAAATGATTTATCTACTGCTGTAGTTCAGGATATGCCGAATAGACCATGCCATTATTCTTTTTGCTGTGCAGCAAACTGCATTTTGAGCGACTGGCTTGACAGTTATCAAGGACAGGCAAGCCTAAAATTTTACAAACAAATAAAAAGGTTTTAAGTTTTCTAACTGAGGATAGACTTTTGAAGTGAGCCTTAGTCATGCATGAACTTTTGAAAAAATGCTAAGAGACAGCTATTTCTAAATGAAAGCAAGCATAGTATAGTATCGGCATACTTTTCCAGTCAAATATTATCAGTAAAGAACTGGCAGTACCCTGAAGGTGCTCTGCCAGGTAGCTGAATCCAGTACACACAGGAGAGATTAAACCATGATTATAGCACTTTCAAACAGTTTTATGGATTGAGTTTTATCTCCTTTTTCCTCTGTTTTAAAAGCAATTTTGCTCAGCGAGGATGTCCGCAGACATTATCTAAGATAGAACAATTCTCAGGTTGCAATAATAGATTTTTGTTTGTGTCCTCTGTCATATGATGAAAATGGCATATCATTTGGAACTGAATTAATTTCAGTTTATGTTGTGAAAATAAATGTAAAAAAAGCCAAATATTTGAGTAGACGTGATCCATGTTTTTAGTTTACCATTCAAATGAAGTAAGAGGAATTGTGTTTATTTTGTGCTGAAGTCTCAATAATTTTTCTGAAAAAATCGCACAAGTGGCCTAAAATAGATACAGTAAAACTCAATACCTAAAGAACTTAGACTTAAATCCTTGTTCTTTTCGACTTGCTGAAATTTTCCCCACTAAATTCAATACAACCAAAATTTCACTTCAACATGTAGCTTAAATTCATGGCAGTAGAGAGAATCCGCAAAATTCATTCCTTGTAATCTCCACCTTCTTTTCCAAGACTAGCAGAAGAAAAATCAGTGACTGCTTTAAACCTTTCTCCAACTTCTTGTTCCCTCACGGGCCAGAAATGGAAGCATCCCCAGAACAAGCATCACATGTCTTTGGAAGTATGTTAGGAAGCAGAGTTGGAGATATTGCACCTTTGCAGGTGTCGCACAATCAAAAGCAGAAACCTGGAATTCTGAAATTGTGTTTGGATGTTGTTTCACATACTGTATTTAATTTTTTTTAGAAAGAGGGAATCTTGTTTCTAAAAAACTTCAAACCTTTGTTTAAAAAAAAGGTAATTTTTGCATGAATTGAATATTTAGCATATGCAGCCACTCAGAAACTATGTACTCTGCACTTATTTTCTCAGCTATTAAACTTAACTTTTTAGATTAACACGTAATTTATTATCACTGTGTTATTACTAGCTTCAAGAAGTGTTACATTTAAGGAATGGTTCCTTGAACTTTGCTGGATTTCCTTACCTGTTCATATCATCTAGATGTTCAGCAGCAAAATAAAAACTTTTGATCTTAGGATGGCAGGCTTTGAATGCACTGTAGAGGAAAAACATAATTATAAAAATGTAATGGCACAACTTTTTTTTTTTTTAAGTGTAAGATAATGTGGTCACAAAGGAATGAGATGAGTTCAGATTTCCTGAGTTGTGCATGCCCCCAAACAGTATATAAACATACAACTTTTAGGATTGTGCCAGATTTCACCAAGTAAAGTGCTCTTCAGCTACTCCTTTCTAAATAATGCTTGATTCATATGTGCATAAACATTGTTCAACAATCACCTGCAGTGTACTATATTTGGATAAAGTTAACCAGTTAAGGATATAATTTTATGTACCAGGTAATTTTGCTAATATACCTATAGGTGTCAATTTTTTCTGAACAGAAAATTGACTGAACAATTTATTCCATACAACAGAAAAACTCTCAGTCCTGGTGATTTCTCACGTCCCAATGACCTTGACATTACCTTTAGCTCTAATGACTGCATTTCAAACAGAAAAATGTGATGCGCTGATTGACTTCTGAAAAGCTGTTATAAATCAACACTGTGTTCTTGAGGTCATTTTAAGCAATGGGCAATTACATCTCATCTTTTCTTTCCACCAAAGTAATCAACATGACTGGGCTGAGAGAATTACTGCATTTCATACATAATATGAAATAAATTACTAGAAAGAATTTTTTAACTATGTTGGATAAAGATTTATGGTCAAGGACTTGGAGATCTAGAAAATGCATCTGAAAATAATTAATAATTTACAGTACAGAAGAATCATTTTTGAGAATAGCCTGAAGGTCTCTCTTCAAATCAGAACAAAAAATGCGTAACAGTCCAAAGAAAATAAGGAAAACTGCAAACATGATACATGAAGAACATCATCACCATTTTTCTGAGACACAATGGATTTTATATAATATATATATAAAAAGACATATAAAATAATTCTCACTCTCTCTAACCCATCGTGTCTCAGAAAAATGGTAATGATGTTCTTCATGTGTGTCATGCTTGCAATTTTCAATATATTTGCCTGTGTGTGTACATATATGTAAATATATGAAAACAGGTTTTAAGAAACCAGGGATATGAAATTGATATTCAGGAAAATTACTGCTAGTGAAGGTAACACAAAATTGAGACAAAAAGAATTCCTCTAATGCATTACAGTATGACACAATGTTATGCAAGAGAAAGCAGATGTACAGTGACATCTGCTCAGTTTAGAAAGACATCACCAAGTTACTGAGACCCAAAACTTGACTTTTTAAAATTGTTACAGCATCTGTTGTCTGGATTCTTAGATCCTTTTTTCTTTATTTGCCATCCAAACAAGGAATTTTAATAGCCACATCTACTATCCAGTAGATACCAAATCAAGTAAAAAAAACCAATTTAAGCAGGGTGCAATTCTGAGAAATGAGTTGGCTTCATGCTGCTGCCCCAACAAAAAAGAAAAAATTAAGCACTTCAGCAATGTAGCCGAAGGACACAGGACAATAAGCCCAAGCTGATGCGTCTTTTTTTCGTAAATGCGGTTTTCATTTTCTGGCCTTTGAGACCATCATGAAGAGTAGAGTTCATCCTGAAGAGATATGTGGACCAACTGATACAAGGTTAGTGGCTTCTTTAGAACTGTATGTACTACAAATCATACCATTTTACTTTTGCAATTGCTTTTCTGTACAAATGTCAGTGATTCCACCGTCCTGATAAACTTAAAAGAACAGTAAAAACCATTAGAAGGCAAGGCAAAAAGTTTTCAACAATAATGACTAAAAATAGCTCTGTGGGAGTATGCACCTGTCATATTGCTACATATACTTGAATTTGCATCTAAGTAAGAAATGGATTTGTGCAATGGCACAAATCTGGACAGCAGCACACACAGCTAGGTTAGAAGAAAAGCTATTTGAGACCTTTAGGTCATACCTCAAAAATACAGCAAATCACTGTCATTCTCTTTTTTTACTTTGCCTCAGGACTGATAGACTGTGTCAGCAAACTCTGAGATGATGCTAACTAATTTGGAGTTACAGTAAAGATTGATGCCTGACCATGAACTTGGGGACTTTTTTATTTGGATGGTCTCTTTATTAGGCTTACAGCTCTTTATTGAGCTTACAGGTATCGCACACACACACACTCCAACCCCCAACAAACAAACAAAAAACCCCCCAAACCAGAAAGGAAACAAAAGAAAAAAGGAAAACTAGGAAAATAAAGGGACAGAAGTGGCCAAGCAGCCTTCTTGCTCTTAATTCATTTTGCTCTAGTAAAGCACTGTGATTCATGATAAGGTAAAAACAACCTTCTTCAGGACAGATGGCACACAGAAACCACACTGAATTTGCCTGTTCTGTATGAGCTTATTCTGTGATACAACCAAATGATCATTGTAACGAAGTCTATTAAATCACTGTTTTAAGAGAAAACCTTGTCCTTTGTTCCACTTTTTCTATTGTATCATTGCATTATTTTTGAGCATACTTACTATTTCTTGCGGCATTCACTGGCTCTGTCAATTTTAAATTCAGGTAGACTGATGAATCCTTCCGCTTTTTCATCCTGCAAAGATAGTTCTAGATATTACTGTTGTTAAGGTGTCAGAAAAAAACCCCATCACGCTGAAAACTTAAAGATATTTTCACTCGCCTGCTTCTTACATAAGGAATCCTAATGTATGCTCTGCTCTGGCAAACCTTCTACAGAAGTCACTGGGACTTTTGCCAAAGTAGTAAGACAGTTCCCTTGGTGTAAAATATAATTTTAAATACCCAGTTTTCTCAAACAATTTCACAGCTGAACCAGCATTTGAAAATATACAAAATGACCAAATGTATTCAGGCAATTAGTTATTGTAATTAGTTAATTTTGGGGGAAGATGGACTAATTAGTAAGGAGAAATGCAGCCTACTGTGAGAAATAGGGAAAAAGCAATTTCAATGATGTGTGCTGTTTACCATCTTTATATGCTATCACAGCTAAGAGGCATGATATCTCTTCAGATACTTTCAAGTCTCTCCAACACTCAAGAGGGAAGACATCTCACCTTCCTCCCCTCTCCTCTAAAGACTTGCACATAGTTGGTGAATTTGAAGGACCAAATATCTCCAGACCTTAAAGGTAATTTAGTCAGGCAATTAATATTAATTTCAGTATGATTATTTGGGTGAATAAAGTTATTCACATATATCAGCACTCAAAGCACTGGCTTCCCACTAAATCATGACAACGGCACTACACAGGGTATTTGTTGAGACAATGAGCACAGATGCTTACCTCTTCATTGATATACCAATATAGAGATGTATCCTTCAGGACAAACCAGTATTTTTTCCATTTCTGGGAAAAATAACTCTTGGCATCTTTCTTTTTCCAAAGCCAGCCTTCGCAGTCCCCTCGACCAAGATCTTTACATGAGATCCGTCTTTTGCTTTTACCAGGAATAGGAGCTGAAAATGACAACGAGTTGATGCAAAAATGTTTGACTTGTCCACTAAATCAACAAGACAGCTAGCCAGAAAGCACTATATATTTGCTTAAGAAAATTAATTAAAAATTTCAACCTCAATTTGCAAGGAATAAATTATTGTAAACATTCTATTTCGACCACAAAGTCTACGGAAGGGACCATAAATCAAAAACCAAACCAAACCAAAACATGATCAGCACCTCACAGGGCTCATATTCTATGGATAAGACAAAAAAAAAAAAAAGCAACACAGAAAGAGAAGACATTATAGAGGGAAAAAAGCAAGATATTTAAAAATAAGAAAAATGGTTATTTGTAATTTTCAAGAAATCAATATTCACATCAGATTAAAATACACAACATATAAATTCATGTACTTCAACACTTGGCTGCCAAATCCAACTATTTAGGTACTTCACCAGTATTCAAAAACCTCTCATTGCAGCCCCTTTTGCAACTAAACTGTTCCTAAGGCCTTTGTACTTCTAAATCAAAGGAGGATAATTTACTATGATATAAATTACCTGACAGCTTAAGAAATGAGCAAGGGCTGCAGTAAGACATTACATGCACACAGCTGGAAAAACCAGCCTGGCCCCAAAGAGGCTAGAGTCTAAGTATTCAAAAAAAGAGACAACAGCAGATATATGCAGGTAGAGGAGCATTAGGAAACTAGGAGACATCAGTAATGGCCTAACACCTTCTCAACATGATCAACTGAACTAAACATTGGATTGGAGCTAACAAGTTCTAGTTCCTCAGATACTGCAATACCGTGAACATTAATATTGGCAATTCCCATCCTACCAATACATGAAAACAAATTTAATTTTTACCTTTGTTCTTCTTTTTACTTTTCTGCTGTAGAGAAGACTGCTGAAATGTCTACAAGAAAATCAAAATGGAAGAAGTGAAAATACAGTGTATATATTCAACCACATCCTTATCATAAAAGAAGTGTAACGTTGCGAACACTGAAGTCATCACCAGGTAACACCAGCCAACAGACTTCTAGGCCTAAGAAAAAAGGTAATTTTAGTTCCTCTGTTCATAAGGTTGTAAAGCAAAAACACACAGTGAAACATCTTAAAATAGACCACAAATTAGTTTGCTGAAACAACTGAAGTTTCTCTCTAAAATGGTCGCTCTTCTCTCGTTCTGCTAATAAGGAAGGAATGTCTCCCTTTGGTTAGTATGATAGTGAAGCTACACAGCCCGTGCATTTCTAATACATCATCTAATTAAGGTCTTCCTGACATAAATATGCAAATATGCAAATTATCACACTTCCTCATGCAGGTGTGAAGGCATTTATATGATGGTCTTCAGAACATCAGACAATTTGCTCAGAAATGGGCCTAATATTTTTAAAGACACCAATAAAATTCTGCTAAATCACAACTGGGGAAAAGTCTCCCCAATAAATATTCTGAAATAGAAAACACTTTATTTTTTATCAGGTTTTGACTGGAACTATTTCCCTCCAGTTGATCCACTCCCATGAACGAACCCATTGCCTTCGCAATGAGACAGGATGGAAATTAGTCCTTTATTAAGATCCTAGCTTATTAAAAATGTCAATACATATTAACACATTTTATGGTCATGTCTGTTAAAAAACTTTGAGTCAGAAAATCACCATCACTTTAGTGAATTTAAAAAACAATTTTGTAATTAATCACTCCAAAATTTAAAGACATGATTTTTGTTGTTTTGAATTTTAGTTTTCTATAAAGACAGACAAATGTATTAGTGCTGAAACTAAGAAAAGGCCACATTATAGTGTCTCAGTATTAAAACCTCTTATTTCTGCTTACCATGAATCAATACAAAAATCAAAGCTTTTGTGCCACTTGATAAAAATAAGTCTAAGCAAAAGCACTGACAGTCCTGTGAGCCCATATCCTGTTCCTAGCAGATAAGACAAACCCTCACCCCAGCTTACAAGGCTCCCTTCTCAATTCAAAGATCTGCTTTTCTTTTCATTTTCTCCTCCCCGCTTCCCATACACCTGAGCTCATGTGCAGGAGGTTCAGGTTCAGCTTTCAAGGGATGGCTCGCCTCACAGCTGAGACATTCTCAAGCAGCAAATACTAACATGTCCATGGGGATAAATTACCAGCAATACAGGGATAATTAAGTGCAATATAAAAAATTAACTGACTCGGTAGATGTGCTGATCCCTTGTAGACTGTGTCTGAAGAAAGCTACTCAACTGCATTGCCACCTCAGATGGTCAAAACAGGCCTCCACTGGGAAGAAAAAAGGAGCCCATTTGTTTTCATTCCCTGGCTCTTGTCCTTTTATTCTGCTCCCAGTATCAATTCAATCAGTACCAGCTCTCAGCAGGCCGAGACAGCAACACCATCCCAACTTACATCACATGAAATATTTCGACCTGCGTAAGACTAAGAGAGATCTTTATGGCCCAGGATTAACAGAGTGACCGGGCAGAAGTGTGTAAATAACTCCCTCTTAGATACTTCGAAAATCTTAACTAATTCAAAGTGGTTGAAAAAACACAAACACGCACAAACCCAGAACTTTAGCACTTCTCAGTTCACAACCCTGACAATTTCATTCTGCTGCTTGACTTTTCTGCACTAGTATCTTCACAGTGCCAAAACAGAAAAGGAAAACCTCAGCTTGGTTTTCTTATAAATGATTCTGAAAGCAGATGAGAACAATATGAAAAGCCTTCTCTTTAAATGTTTCGTCTGTAAATTGAACCTGCAAACGTGAGCTCACACCTCTCAACTTCTGAGTCAGTTTTTGGGAAGAAAGGGTAATGAAGGGGTATCAGCTTTTAATAGGAAGACAGCATGTAATTTAGACGTCTAGCCATTTTTCCATACATTATGTCATATTGCAAAATAGAAAGGTTTTATTACATTCAGTTATTATTCTACATTAGCTCATTAAATTAAATTATAATTAAGGACAAAATCTACAACTCAGTGGAGTTCCTGGGAACTATTCAACTTACTTCAGTGATTTTAGCTAACACTTTAGATTATTTTACATAGACTTCAGGCTTCAAATTGGTTCGTCCTTTGCAAAAACAGCACCAGCTATTTTTTTTTTTTTTACCCAGAAGATGCCCAAGCCACAGAAGGCAAAGGCGGGGACTGGGAGAATGAAGAGCTGCCCACTGTAGGAAAAGATCAGATTCGAGGCCATCTAAGGAACCTGAAGGTGCACAAGTCCATGGGACCTGATGAGATCCATCTGTGCGTCCTGAAGGAACTCGTGAATGAGGTTGCTAAGCCGCTATCCATTGTATTTGAGAAGTCGTGGCAGTCCGGTGAAGTTCCCGCTGACTGGAAAAGGGGAAACATAACCCCCATTTTTAAAAAGGGAAAAAAGGGAGACCCACCCACAGTCTCACCTCTGTGCCTGGGAAGATCATGGAACAGATCCTCCTGGAAGCTATGCTGAGGAACATGGAGGACAGGGAGGTGATTCGAGACAGCCAGCATGGCTTCACCAAGGGCAAGTCCTGCCTGACCAACCTAATGGCCTTCTGTGATGGAGTGACTACATCAGTGGACATGGGAAGGGCTACCGATGTTGCCTATCTGGACTTCTGTCAGGCCTTTGATACGGTCCCCCACAACATTCTTCTCTCTAAACTGGAGAGGTATGGATTTGATGGGTGGACTGTCCGGTGGGTGAGAAATTGGTTGGATGGTCGCACCCAGAGGGTAGTGGTCAATGGCTCAATGTCCAGATGGAGATCAGTGACGAGTGGTGTCCCGCAGGGGTCCGT